GACACGCGTCATGCTTGATCTGCTTCAAACGCTTCGCTATTGGTCAAATCAGGGAACTGACAAATAGTGTAATGGATGGAGTGGATCAAGCGGATAATTAACCCGTCCATACGTACAAGTATTAAAAAGGCCATACAGGGCTTACCAATCGAAGTGTCGGGTGTACCAGCATCTCCACTCCCGCGAGGAATCTGCAGCTCTTCTGCAAACATGCTCACTAAACGTATCCAATCTAGTGAGACTCCGCCTTTTCCACGGTCGCGGTGGGAAAGCGATCAGAGCATGTTTGCGAAAGAGGTGCAGAGTCACGCGAGGCGGTCGCGCGGGAGTGGAGATGTTGGTGCACCCGACACTGATGTTGATAAGCCATGTATGTATAAATGGAAGGTTGGCAGATGTCTGCGAGTCTTCTACGGAATGCGTCCAAAGTCCTGAAGATTGCACCATTTGCCGAGTCCCCTACTTTGCTTGGGATCTACCTCATTTTCAGAGCGAAGCTAACAATCAAGTTGGGTGGGCTACACAGATCCTCGAAACAACGTCCCCTACTTACCGCTGCCAGAGAAAGCTCAGCGTCGGTAATCATTTCTAGTTTAGCCATTTTTTCTCTTTCAAAAAACAGCTGCTTTTGACTCTGACTTCAGCAGGCCAGATAAACATCTTAGTCGGGCAATAATCCTTATGTTTCTATCAGAGTGCCCATGACTCAGCGGACTGAGGACGAGCAGATGAAGCCGCTTGAGGCAGATGGAGAGGCAAACCCTACCCAGACTGAGGAAAAACCGCCAGCCCAAGGTTTTGAGGTTGTTGTTTGTTGTCAGTTGCATTAAACATTTTATGCGAAATTTTTTTGAGGGGTTCTCGTATAACGAAGATGTCATGAAATTCGAGCTGCCACCTTTGCCAGATCCATTACCCAAATGTAAGGTCGCTCTTGAGAAGTTTGTAGTCCCAAAAGAGGTGCGCATTATCTACATCCCTACGTTACTTTCCACTTATGATCGCAGCAGCGGATGATTGAAACTATACAGAGCGATCTGGTTCGACGTTCGTTCATGCCGCTTCGCACTCACCCAGATCCTATGGTTGAGGCGTATTTTGAAAATGTCACAGAGACGGGAAAATCGCGGCTTCCATGGGAAATTATACGTCCAGCCTTTTTATGGAAAATCAAGGTGATCTACTTGATGTGTGCTTTGGTCAGTTAGGCAAATCATGGTATCTCAGTCTTGCATGGATGAAATGGTACGATGGCATCGGCAACGCGAAGGGCCCGACTCGTTTGACCTCAGCGAAGGATCCGAAAATAAGAGAATGTACGACTTCATACTGAATAAGGCTGCTAAGTTTGAGGCTGCTCCTTTCACCTGGCAGAGGTTTGTGAATTGTTAGCCTGATTTTGTCACTTACTGGTTCTGTTCAAGGATATGTGAGTTACTTCATTCACCCTCGCGGCACTATCGGAAGGCAGATAAATACTTCCGAGCACTTGATAAAACGATTAATGTTGTTACTACGGTGTCAGAAGATGGTCGGCGGATGACTGGAAACCCTCCTTACACATCTGAAAC